TTCGGTGAACTTGGACCAAAACAACCCATATAAAAAATAATAATAAGAAAATAAATCAATAAAATTAATTATAATAATGTAATTACACTCTCATTTTTATTTTTAACAAAGAAAAAATGATATTATTTTTAAATAAAAAATTAATTATTTTGTATAATTAGTGAATTTTTTTAAGATAATATATTTTTTAATGATAAATTAATGTAAAAAATAAAAATATTATATTCACTTAATCTTATTAGGGTTAAAAAAACAAAATTGAAACTTATTAGATAAATATTAATTAAAAATTGTGACAAAAAATTAAAAAAAATAAATTTGTTAATAAAATTAAAAAATTTCAATCTACTAACAGTTTGGTACAAAAAGTTACTCAAGCTACCTTTTTCAATTCGTTAGTGATTTAGACCCTAACCATTATTTGTTAATCCTAAACTACTAAATATAAATTTTTATCAAACACCTTATTTGTAGTAGTTTAGAAATATATAAATTTACTAAACATCTATGCTTAGTGGTTTAGGCAAAACTACTAATGACTGCCTCAAAATCGCTATACCAAATAGGTCCATAATATCATTTGGGTTATGTTTGGCAAATGCATTATATAACTATATATAAAATAGTACATATCAATTTTAAATCTCTTTATTTCTAAAAAATTAAACTCACAATTTTAAAAGATATGTTTTATTTAATTAAATTTTAAATTAAAATTTAAAAATTCACTTTATTAATATTGATACATGTATTTAGAAACTGAAAATCTAATTTAAAATTCAAAAATTCACATATCGATTTAAAAACTAATTATATATTTAAATATAATCAGTTTTGAAATTCTTAATATTTAACAAAATAGATTTTTAATTTTAAATTGAGTTTTAATTAAATGAAACAAGATTAGAATTTCAATTTTTTAAGATATCAGTCCCAACTCTAAAAAAAATTAGAACCGTGATTTTAAAAATTCTACTCTTTAATAAATATTTTCAAAAACTAATTGTTAGATTTAATATTCTATTTATATAAATCATATATATTAATTTTTTGATAAATTAAATATATATAACTAATTTATTAATTATAAAAAATTTACTACTATTGAATATATATTAGAAAATATAAATTTTTTAATTGAATGCTTATAAATATTAAATTAACTTAAAAATTA